TTATGAGGATCCTTGCCTGCTGCGTGCCAGACTGAGAGTCGAAACCCTAAACTGCTATTCCTAAAGGCCTTTAGGGTTTAGGGTTTAGGGTTTAGGGTTTAGGGTTTAGGGTTTAGGGTTTAGGGTTTAGGGTTTAGGGTTTAGGATGATTCAATCTACGTAGAGGCAACAAATCTCTCAACTCTACAAGCCGACAGCCGACCGCCTTGGGACATTGGCCGTTTTAGCAGCTCTCTGTCCAGGAGCGTCTCGTTCAGGTTGCCCAGGAGACGCTCGCAACCCTGAAGGAGCCCTGCTTTCAACTTGCAAGCCCTCCTCGAAGTGCCCCCAACAGCTACTCTTTGAGGTAATATAGCAAGATAGCACAATAGTCAAGGAACCTTGCAGATGTACGTTCTTAGGCTTCAGGTACCCTGACTCTGGCCCATCGGTGTTTGCTGCGAGTATGCTTAGGACCTAGGAAGCATTAAGCAGCGCAAAGCGGTGTCTTTTTCTCCGTCTCTCTCTTGTCTCTCTCCCTCTAGACTCTATTTCCCTTTGTCTACCTCTCTCTCTCTTTCCCCTGACATCTCACCTTAGCTTGTGCTTGCGGGGCTTGATGCCTGCAAAGAGTCTTGAGTGGCTGAACCACGTCCTGGAATTGCGAACTCCTTGGTGAGCCGAATCGAAAATTTTCGAGTTGCATAGTTGCACATGGTGCAAAGGAGCAGCATGCTTTGGCTACAGCGACCATGGTTGGCTACTGAGGAGAAGTGCAAATGCTTGTTCAGGACTTTTGCGTGCTTTGAGGCTTGATCCCCGTGCCTTTGCTGCTTCGACGCGAAATCTACAGGTCACATCCGAACTACAACGGCCACGACCACCACCAGACTACAGACACGGGTTCTCGCCATTGCACCCACGAGCCGAACTTCTTGATGCAGCATTCGCACCTGGATTGCTACCTCCACCAACCACACCGCCACCACTGCCGGCGATTCCTATCCCACTAGCCACATCTACGCATATGGCGCCAGACCCGTCCCCAACTAGTACTGGTACTACCAGCATCATTGCCAACTAGTTACCACGACCACGACCACGACCAACACTACGACGACGACCACTAATTGCTACTCCTGCTGCTGCTGCTGCCGGTGCTGTTCAAGCATGCCTCTCTAACTTGCGTGACCGGTTGTGGATGGAGGATCATTGTATCAAGCCCTCTTTGCTCGACGATCCTTTTCACTCCCATGCTTGCACCCCATCACACCTTACGTAAGACCACAGTCGCAGGGGCTGGGACGATTGCTTGATGAAGTACCGGACATAATTATATAAATAGTTACCAATACCATTTTACTATTTCGGGGCTCCTTACTATAGTAAGTTAAACATCATATACCGCAAAACCTTATTCTGATTATAGTATAAGATACCCCCAAAACCTTATGCTAACTGTCAAGGCCTCGACAGTAGCTTTGCAGCCGGGTCGATGCTAAGGGCTGCGCACAAAGCGGTGCTGAGCCTTGCCAGCAGACTCTGCCCTCTTTGAGGATTAGGGTTTAGGGTTTAGGGTTTAGCGGTTCGAGCTCAAGCCCAATAGATGGTACAGTGGGCCATTTACAATCGCACACAATTGGCAAAATCTGGGCCGAACTTCAAGAGAATGAGGAAGTCTTCATCGGGCTTCCCACTCTAGCCCGCGAGTTTCAGGGCTTTAGGGTTTTGCAGTTACGGGTTAGCTGCTAGCAGTTGCGTTAAAACGTGCACAGGCCCCCTCGTTGCATATTGAGTTCCTCAGTCGGCGTGGTGTAGGGGCCTCAATAATCACCAATATTATTGCTTTGGGTCCTCTGAAAAATCAGAGTATAATATACCCCAGAACCCCTTTCTAGGTATTAAAGCCCATCGGCTGAAGCCGTCAGCCACCACCAGCTTGGCTTCCCTTCATCCTCTATAGCCTGTAGCTTGTAGCCGCTACATGGCCGCTTGAACGATAGCTCCCTCGGCCCTACCCTAAACCCTAAGCCCGAAGATCCAGCACTATCGTCTTCCAAGCCGAGGAGCCGGCACAGAAAAGCTGAAGCAGAGGTCTTCAACTTGTCTCAAAGATCGGAAGCCAAACCTCCAAAGCAAGGAACAAGGTACTCACCTAAGACCTAAGAGTTGTTAAAGGCTGTCCCAAATTAGGCATACTATCAGGTTTCCTTATCTGGAAAACTTCTATTATTCGGAACAGGTCTACTATGGGTCTGAACAATCGGTACAACATACTAAACTACGTAGAACAACCCCACAACCCCCCTTTCTCATGACTTCGACCATCATATGTGATGTGTCTCGATGCCCTAAGTCCTAAACCCTAAACCTTAAACTTTACCTAAACCCATAAGGCGCCTTCGCCTTTGGCCACGCTGCCAGCATCGAAGCGCCATTCCGTTTCGATGTCCCGCTGCTTGTTTGCAACTTTCCGGTACCCTAGACCCGAAACCGTATTGCAACTTTCTTATTGAATGAAGGCCTCAGGAATGATCAGAAAGTGGTAGCAAGAGTGTGGCACACAGAGCCGCAGCCTTCGCCTCAACCGTCGTCGTAGTAGCAGCAGCCACATGAACATGGCCAGCTGACTGCAGCTCACTATTGAAGTTTCCGTCACATCGGAGGACCGAATAGCCAATGCCAGGGCCACACGCGAGCCATCGTTCTTCCAGCTGCTTCATGCTCAAGCAAGCACAATTAGAATGCGGGAACACGTGGCCCTTTCACATCCAGTGGCAAGGTTTCAAGATTGTTTAAGCATGCATTGCATAGCGGACCTTCCAAGCTAGGAGGCTGCCATCGGATGGTTGGGGGCCATGGGAGGCAGGAAAGGCAGATGGTCCCGTGAGATCTCTCCAACATCGAGGTGCCCGGGCTTAGGGTTTAGGGCTTACGGGCTNNCGGGCTGCTGTGTACGAGGCCTGTTGCACACCACCGCTCGACTTTGCCTCTTTGCAAGCAAGGGGTGCAGCGGGGTCCCTGCATCACTGGCTCCCAGTCACGAGACCCTGATAGCTCTTGAGGCGCGCCCTGCTGAGACTATCTCTCAGCCTCTGGCTTCTGGCCTGGCGCAGCTGGAGCTGCGAGACCTCCTGGAGACGCGTTGGCGCGCTCGAAGTATGAGATCTGCGGACTCTAAACCCTAAACCCTAAA